GGCTGTCCCCTCGCCCCAGGGACAGCGGGGAGCCGCCTGCTGCTGCTGCGTTCCGCTCACCGCGGCTGCACTGCCCGCTCTGGGACCTTGCCTCACGCGTGTAAGCACACCCCAGACTCAGTAATTTTAGTGGTGTTCAGCCCTTTTGTCCACTTTGTGTAGTGACAAATCATTGCCTTTTTTTAAAAAAATTGTCCTATTTGGGCTATTTTCATGGCGAACTTTCCATTTTTCACATAACTAACGAGCCTTACAGGCCGTCCCATGCACGTTGAGAGGGAGCCTGTGCTGGGCTCTGGATGAGCCACGAAGCCGCAGCGGGGCCGTGCGGCTGGGACCCGCTCCCCCGGGCAGAGCCCCGCTTGCCCGGGGCGCTGCAGGCCTGCACAGGAGGAGGGGAGCCTGCGGGCCTGGCACGGGCAGCCGTGTGGGTGCTGCTGTGCAGAGCGGCTCTGAGGCACCGGGGCAGAGCGGCTCCAGGGTGGCACCGTCCTCAGGGGGAACAGAGCGGCCAAGCTTGGGTTTGGCTCAACTCGGTGAAGAGCAAACTTGGGATAAGGCCAGGGAAAAAGTTCCATTCTTGACGCACAATGCACCGATCTGCTGTGGGAGCTGCTGTCAGGGCAGCCCTTGGTAAGGCAGGGATGTCTACTCGCCTCTGTGCTTCCTTTGCAATTTTTCCAGTAACAGCAACCACAAAGGAGTTGCTTATTTTGTGCCGTTTGTGGTTGCAAAGCCTTGGAGCACGCTCTGGGCCCCTGGTCAACGTGCTGTCTGTGTGTCTGTCTCCTCTACTGCAGTTCCTCATTGACGTGTCTGTTCTCTCATCTGTGACACCCAGGAAATGCAAAGAGGCTTTTCCCAGCTCGTGGACTCCGGCCTGCCCACCGAGGGGAGCCAGGCAGCACCAGGAGAGACAGAGGTAAAGCTCCTGAGTCTTTGCAGGTCAGGCTGTTAATGTGGTTAACAACAGATACCGAGTGGGTGAACAGCTTTTTTTTTTTTTTTTTTTTCCCTGCCTTTTTTCTTTTTCCCTTTTTTTTTTTTTTTTTTTAAGAATAACAATCTAAGTTGATGGAAGGCATGGAAGAGGAGCTTTGAAGGGCAGTGCCTCCCAGTGTCTGTTCAGTGTAATTTTGGGGAAGATGCTGGGCAATTTTAAACCTGTCTCTATGCACTTTGATGTGAATATTCAGGAAATGCACCTGTAGCATCAGTGCTTCATACTTGAATGGAATGAAAACGGTAGAAGCCTTTAAATAATCAAATCTAGTTCCTCTTTGTCTGCCAAAGCAGAATTACAGCTGTTTCCTGTGGATGCCTGAGCCCTGCGTTCCTGGGATCCATCCTTTGACTCTGCGAGTGCTTTTCGTTGTGGGAAAAGTGGGAAGAAGATCAGTTTTGAGATAGGCACTGAAATGCTGAGTAACTGCAAATATTAAAATATGTTTCATTTATGTAGTTTTAGGCTCTCTTCTGTTATCAAACCAAATTTTAGATTGAGGCACACATAAGCTGGCTGCTAATTTTTAGTGCTAGATGGAATTCTTTTCCATTTTTAAAAAGGCAGAAGTCATGAGTCATTACTCTAGTAAAAGAAACAGATTGCTTATATGTACAGGAGGTGGCGTTCTCAGAATCAGCAAAAGGTCATGGAAAAATCAGTGTTTTCTCCCTCTTCCTTTTCTCACCCCACATTTCTATTGTACTGAATTGTGAATGGGTTGTACTCCTGAGATTGGGTGAAAAAATAATGAAAGCTGCTTTTAATTTACTCTATGTAAAATTGTTTTTTAAAAAATGCAAGGAAGCCCAGAATGGAGCTGGAGGAGTGAACTGTGTGTGAACTCTCTAATGCTGAACTAAGGCAGCTGGTGCAGCTGTAGAATTTCTTTTGCATCTGTGCTGTCCCTATGATGGGACTATATGTATCACTTTTATTTGATATGATGTACATATTTAGTTGTTGGGTTTTCTCCCTGTGTAAATGAGTGCTTCCTGCCTATTAATCACTTTTATGGCTGTTTTCTGCAGTTTCTCAGATTTGTTAATATCCTTTTAGTAATGAGAGGTTAGGAGGTTGACTGTGCCTGGAACTGCGAGTTCATTTCAGAGCTGTCTTCATCTCACTTCACTGCCTGGTTTTCCTGGCTGATATCTTATGCTGTAGCAAGGTGGTGGCGCTCAGGCGGTGGGATGTGTGCGAGCCTGTGATTCATCACCCTGCACATAAGGGAGCTACACTCATGGAACTAGCAATAAACCTAGTCTAGAAGAAGTCAGAACTTTGTATTTTTATGGTAGCCAGAAGGCTCTGGACTTGCAGTCATTTGTTTATTTATTTATTTTTTAATATGGCTGGAGTCATCAGAGGAATGCTGGTTGGAAAAGGTTGCTGGTGGTGATCTAATCTAACCTGTGCTTGAAGTGGGAGTTTTGCCAACATGAGGTCAGGTCGGCAGTGGCTTTGAACCATGCTTTGGAAAACTCCAAGGAGTGAGATTCCACCAGTTCAGTGCTGAACTGTCCTCCGAGTCAGAGAGGTGTTTCCATTTGCCAAACCTGAACTTGCTAGGCTGCGGGGTGTGGCCTTTGTGCCTTGTATGTCATCTGTCACTACCGAGAGGAGTTTTGCTCTGCCGTTGTTATTGCCCTTCAGGGAGCTGTAGAGTGCTGTTAGCTGTCCCGTAGTGTCCTCTTGGCCAGAACAGGCAAGCACACCTCCCTCAGACTGTTACTGTTGGGTATGTACTTAGTCTTCTGACCATCTTGGTGGCCCCTTGCTGGATCCTCTCCATTTTTTGTGTGTGTCTTTTGAACTAGAGATCCTCAGACTGACTGCAGCTTTTGGTGCTGCTTCACCTCTGCCAAACAGTCATAATAACTTTGCTTGATTCATCTTCCTCCTCGTGTAGCCCAGGGTGAGGTTTGCCTTGCAGTTTGAGTGCACATTTGGCTCGTGTTCATCTTGGCACCTGTTGTAAGCCGCGATGCTCCCAGTGGGACTGCGCTCAGTCAGGCGGTTCCCTGTCTGTGCTGGTGCTGGGGACGTTCGGCCCCAGGATGGGCTTGCACTAGTCTTGTGTTCACCTGCACCATTGGTGTATTTTGTGTCTGGGGCTTGCCTTAATGTTCCCCCAGCCTGTTAATACTCTGTGCAGGATGGCCACTTCAGCTTGCGGTTCTGCAGCATTAAGAAGTTCTCCGCTGTAGAAACAGAAAATGCTCAGAACGTCTTTAAATAAAAGAGCCTATAAAGACCCTGGAAACTTCTGAGTTCCCTTCAGAACTAATCTCTGGAAGAATAAGGTTTTCCTTTTCAGTGTATCTTTTTACATTGCACTTGGTTTCTGTTAGCCTTTGTTCTGAGTAGGCTATTCAAGCAGTTTTCAGATATTTAAACTTGCTATTTTCCTTTAAAAAGAAGTACATCTCCCTTGTGATATACTGCAGATGTTTTCTGCAGGGTACTTAAAATGCATTTTAAACCATGGCATGGAACTTGTACAGCCTGAAGGACAGAAATTGTTGGCTGATTTATTCATGCTTTTTTTCACGCTGTGTTTCCCTCCTTCTCTAGTTAATCTTTGTTTTACTCCTTTTTTTACAATCTTTTTTTCTCTATAACCTGCTCTTCTCATGTCAGGTTTAAATCTTCCTTTATGAGTTGACCTTGATTTCTGGATGATCATGTCCGTCAGGTTAGCAGCCTTGTGCTCTCCATCCCTCTGCCAGACTATTGTGCACCTATTAGAATATTGATTTGTAGAGAGTGGAGTATAAAAAATCAATACCCCATTAAATGGAGTAGAGTGACAGTGTCTCTAAGGCTGATCAAATGCACAGAGTAGTGTCTAGACACTAAGAATGTCCCCCATCCATTCCCCCATAGCCTTGGCTAGGCAGATAAAACATTTGCATCCTATTATGAACTAATTCACATGCATTATAGCTGGAAGATTCATTACAGATAACCAAGTTTTGAAAAGTGTCAGCAATGCAAAGAAGTACTCTGATTTATTTTGACAGCTG